AATGTGAGGAGTATGCTAAGCAAATCCAGTTAACCACACAATTTTTGGCATAAACCGTCAACACCGTAGTGTATTTGGTAAATCTTTCTCCCTCTAGTGCAATCAATTTATCCACATCGTTTGAACTCAAGCATACATAGATGGCGGATCACAGTAATTTGAAAATTTTTCGTTGTACTGCTTATTCTCTCACACCAAAGGAGCATAAGACTAAGATCCTACATCCAAGAAATGTCATTTTCTTGAATATACTAGTGGAATGAAAGATTATAAGCTATGGGTATCAGTAGCCCGTAATGTGATTGTCAGTAGATATGTTTCTTTCAATGAGATCAGCTTATTGAAAGAGGAGAATTCTAAGTCCCCGTACTAACAAGGTAAAATCTCCAGTCACTGATGTTATTGTGGGGGAGTTTAATCATTATGTCACTAATAATCTATCACTAGAAGGAGCACCGTTGCATCAAGAATAGTAACTATAGGAGCAAATTATCATTGATGAGTCTACTGCAACAATACAAGACGATAGAGATCAACCAAAATCGTATACTATGAGATCGCATTGTGCTAGTAGGGCTCTTGATAGGTTTGGTGCCTAGGCTAATTCATCCATTCTTGAAGATTGTGACTTTGATGTATAAGATGAGTATGGTATGGCATTGATCTTGGAAGAAAATGGAGAAGGTTCACCTTTCGAAGGTGATCTTGGAAGTTGATATTCTTAAGATGATCGAAGCGATGATTTAGAAGCTATGAAAGCTCAAGCTCAAGCATGGAAGCTCAAGCTTTGATCAACAAGCTTGAGTCAAATTCTGCTATGAAGCGGAAGATGCAATCACTAATTGATAATAAAACTTGAAAGTTGGTTAAACTTACAAAAAAACACACACTGATTGACTTCAAGGGATGTACAAGCTGAAAGACAATCTAGAAGAAGTTTTTTTAACAGCGTGTATGATTTTGTGTCTACACAAAGAAGTTGAATGATGAGACGTTCAATCTCATCATTTTTGTACTTTACGTTGATGACATGCTCACCTTGGCAAAGAACCAATCCGATGTTGATGAATGCAAATGTAAGTTGAAGACTGCATTTAAAATGAAAGATATGGGGGGATCAACAAGATTATTATGCATGGATATTCATAGCGATTTTGAGCAAAAGAGTCTATAGTTGACTCAATGCAAGTATGTTCGTCGTATACTTGACATGTTCAACATGACCGATTGTAAACGAATATATACTCCTTTGGCAACATATTACAAACTCTATGCTACTCAATGTCTTACTGATGCTCTGGATAAAAGAAGAATGTCATGTGCTCCCTATGAACAAGCCGTAGGTAGCCTCATGTATTTGATCGTATGCACTAGGCCGAATATTGTCTTTGTGATGAGCAAGATAAGCAGGTATGTGTCGAATCCAAGGAGTGTTCACTGGAAAGTAGTGAAATAGACTATGAAATATTTGAAAAGTACTATGGATTATGACTTACAGTTTGATGGTCTATTAAAACAATGAAAAATACTTGTTTAGCTGCGTTGATGCTAACTACAAACACGATCTAAACAAAAGAAGATCTACAAATGGGTATGTGCTTACACTTGATTATGAAAGCATTAGTTGGAGGTCTACCTTGCAAAAATGCATAGCTCAGTCAACAACTGAAGTTGAGTTTGTGACAGCACCAGAAGCAACAAAGGAAGCTATTTGGTTGGATAGGCTTATCATGGAAATAGGAATGACGCAAGACGTGATTAATCTTCATTATGATAGCCAGAATGCTTTATATCTGGATGCGAACTAGCTCATGGATAACACATTGACATTAGGTATCATTTTATCAAACAAATAATGTTTGATAAAATGATTGAGCCAGTCAAGATCGACGGTAAAGTCAATCCAACTGATGGTTTGACCAAAGTTATTCCTTTGAAGAGTTTGGACGACACAATGCTACTATGCAGGTTGTGCATGGGGAGCACATGTAGAGTTTGATAGTATAATAACTTCAGTAATCTCTTTACGTATTTACTCGATCATGTGATAACTACGGTTTAGTTCTAATTAACTCATGTGTAAAGAGAAAGCTTGTATTAAGCTTCTATCTAGAACCTCTCGCGGAGTAGTTATATAGATTATGAGATCTCTTATACCTCTATGCTAGGAGGTTGTCTAGTTAACTCTTTATGTTATAATTCTATCATGTTATGGCTACGGTTTTAGTTCAAGTCAACTCTTGTGTAAAGAGTCGTCTTGTATTAAGTTTTTGTATAGAATTTTCCTCTGAATAACAATATAGGTTACAGAGGTTACTGTTTCCTTAACACAAGTTAAGGCGGAGATTGTTGAAATTAACTCCCATTAAGTAGTAACCTCAGGTTCTAGCTATCTATAATGAGATTTGTCGCTGATGTTGGATATATATATATACCCCCAAGACTTCTACTCTATACGGTTTGCATCAGTTGTCAGTAAAATTCTCTCACGTGTTCAAACCATGAACGTGACCCTTTGAAAGTTGAACCACTGTATACTCTCGTATACTTGTGCATGTGTCTTTTGATCTACCTATAACAATCTAAAATAAGAAAAAATATGACACTCTGATAAATTTGAACTAGACTAAGTGCCAAACCACACGACCGGCAACGGCAGCGAATCCTCGCTTGTCATTGGCAATCCAACTCCCCCTTTACCACACGAGAGGGAGCGGCAATTTCACATATCCTAGGTTGCAAAGAAATCCACTACTCCAAACTACTAGACACTTCCGCCCGGAAATCCAGTTTTTTTGGAATATATCGACTCCTCGTGTATTTTCGCGCGTTCTTGGGTTACTCCATTGCAATTAATAGAGACATTTCTCACTTTACAGTCCGAATGCACTACCGGCAATGTGATAGAGGTTATGGAATTGTCGACTCAGGCCTAGAGACCTGCATTGGATACCCATACCCGAACCGTATCCACCCAAACCGATGAGTATGGGTCGGGTTTGGACCAACCTAGGAACGGTTTGGTTCGGGTCCGGGTTGGACTTTTAATAAGATGGTTCGAGAGTGTTAGGTTTAAAAATAGATTATCAGTAAAACTCAGTAAATTGGTCGCGGAGGATTTCTCGACTAGTCGCTCATCAAATAAAAAATGGATGAATTCTTTCATGTCACTGTTCCACCTACTTTTCTAATCTATTCAGGTCCAAGTCAGGTATCATTTTGAAGGTGACTTGGATACGGGTCGGTTATAGGGTTTGTCTCTTCGGTTTCGGCTCGGGTACGTGTGGTTTGGCCCTCATATACTCCGACGCGTGAAAACCAAAGCACACCACTAGGATAAATACATTAAGTGATAGTTTTGATTCTACTACTATAGCAGGATAGTGAGGAGTTTTGGTGCATAATACGGGTGAGAAAAGTTTGAGTGGAGTGACTTTCATGTTGCAGGGGGAGCTAAAAGTGTTCAAGTTGGAAATGATAAATTATAAATGAAAATCCCACATTTGGAATTGGAATCACAAAGCTCAAAGAAAATTATATTTGATGCGGTGATGACTATATATATATTTATATATATATATATATATGTATATTTTCGCCGGTTTAGTCATCACCGGCGAAAATTTACAGTCTATTGGAAAGTTTCACCTATAAATTTCAGGTTTGTTTTTTATTTTTGTGTGGGTGTTTCCTAATTTTGTGAAAGTTTCATCATCTACATATTAAAGGAATTTTGGAGTAAGTGATGGAGGGTGCACCAAGCTATATACCGAAAAGGACGGGAACATACGCTGTGGAGTAATATCTGGATGAGTACAGAACTTATAAGATTCTGAACATGAAAAGGTCAAAGGCCAACTTTGTACTAAAGAATTTCGATGATTATTTTGGTTGGAGGTTGGTGCAAATACTGTCCAAATTTGCGGTAGAAAGCCATTATTTGCTTGTCTTTGGATAAAAGTGGTGACTGAGACGTCTGTAAGTCCAGTGCTGATTTGTAGAGAACTGTTAGCTGACACAAAGCCTATGTTTGACATGCTGATTTTCGTAGAGGATTTGTTGGCTGTAGGATAGAGACGATAAGCCTCTTGTGTAAGACTTCATGCCGACCAAAAACATTCTTCAAATTCTTTTGGTTGGACCATGATACATTGCACTTTCTATCGTGTGCCATTCCTAGCAATTTCGTATAAAAGAATACGTCGGTCTTATAACGCTATGGAACCGACATAATCTCACTTTTGGGGCCGACAACAACGTGATACTTGGATGCAAAGTACTATGACGAAGGCAGGTATGATCTGTTCCAAATAAAACCAGTCTACAGCGATCTATTTACACATCTGCAGCTACGATGAAAAACCATGAGGTCCTATATGATGTCAAGAGATATTACAAAAGGACATGTCATCTAACGCATCGCTGCGAGCTACTTGCGTGTTTCTGCGTCTTGAGAGAATCCCCAAACAAAACAATTTATTGAATGAATACGTAATAGTTAGTACTTAAGGCGAAGGGTTAAAAAAAGGAACGTAGTCTATCGGAGTGGGGAAATTTCTAATCAATATAAACTTTCCTATTTAATAGGATGATGCATATATAAATTGCAATACTTTTCGATGCACAAAGAAAAGAGAAGAAAAAAGTTGCATCAGAAGTCTCAGACTTCGAGTCCTTTTTAACTTGAATGACCATATTAGGTCTGAAACAAGTATTTTGTGAAAGATTGAATGATTTGTGCTTGCGTCATATTATTTGATTGAGGCGTTGATTTTCTTACTGGCATCATCAGGTTTGGTATGCACATCGTCATATTTAAAAGAATTTTCATTGGTAATTACAGAAACATTGACTGATGCACTCGATATATCTTCCTACCAACATAAAACGCCAAACGCATTACTTCATTATACCACACATCTCGTTCGACGTAGTATTACATCTACAGATATCTAGTATAGCTTCCAGCAAAAAAGAGATGAATTGGAAAAATGAGAAGTCTCGCGTAGACATGGTACGATCAATTGAAACCAAATGGGAGATTGTAAACATCTACATGTCCGACAGTGCTCTCTGCTTGGGATATGACATCCAATTGAACTGACGCTGTGACGTTCTTTGCACAGAGACATAACACATCCAACAAAAAGAACACACGTGTAGCGGATAGTGTGCACAATCGTTGTTCACTGACTTTATCAGTCAGCGAACAACGAAAGTCTTATGTTTGGACCAGTTTCACCCATGTCTGAGTGTCACTCTGGCGAAGTAGCCCGAGAATCTACTCTTCAGCCAAAAAGTATACTTCAGCCTCACAGAGACGGTCCACAGGTCCATGAGGCTGTACCGAAGATACAGAGCTATCACTACGAGTATACGCTTCAGAATGAGTGTTGATATCACATTTTCATGTATTCTCTGTCTACATTTCACCTTCACCAGTCTTTACATGGTCTGTGACGACAATCTGTAACACATGTATCTCTGAACCTCTTCAACTATTCTCTCAACTCTGGGTATGCTCGAAATGGTAAGTTTGAGGTAGATGGTGAAGGGTGAATGCTGCTGATTCCACTTCAAGTGGTGGTCACATTAATGACAATGTAGCCTAGAACGAGGGACTGTTCAGAATGTCCATAGTGGTCCGCTGATACAAGGGAGAACTGGTATGACTTGTGTGTTTGACCTCAACTTTGACTTGGCACTTTCGTACTCGTTGATAATGCAAGGAGCTTTTCGCAAAGGTCTGGAACCTTTGAACGAAATCAGCCAACTAGAGGGAAGATTAGCAGCAATCGGACAAGTAAAGAGTAGTGGCTTTACCTGATCCACATCCGTGTATATCCCAGAATTCACTGTTGGTCTGAACTGGTAATACAACCAACGTTGTCTGATGATAGCTACCTAGTGATTGACGATGGTGATTTAGTAACAGGATCAACTTAGTTTCAAGGTCCTCCACCTCCAACACAAATTAGCCCCATCACCAGCGAAGGGAAGGGAAGGGAAACTGAGTACTTCAAACCGGTCTGTTACCTCCTGATGCACAAGCTTACTGATTTGCTCTGGCTCTCAGTGGTCCAGAACATAAACCCTCGTTCTTCCCGGGGACTCTCGATTTAGTCACTGCTTGAAACAATGCATCATGCATCAGACGATTCTTCTCAAAGAAAGAATTGCCGAAGCGTTGACAAGCATACGGCGGTTCTCAGGAAAGATGTCGCATGGATGCAGTTTGTGGTGATTTCCAGAGTGCTGGATCAGATGCCAAGGCGATGATGATTCTTGATTTATCCGGTTGGACGCGAAGGAAACGGCAAATCATAACAGCTCAACGCCAGCTTCATACACTGAAACCAGTGGAAAACTTCGGCGTTCGGATCCTTCTCCTCAACTGAGTAGAACACCAAAGAGAAAGACTGTTAGATTTTCCAGCCAGTTACATGAAATCTATCAATTCACCCATCTACCACACAATTCGCAGTTGCATGAACCATGAAATAGAGAGAGTAAAGTCCGTTCAAATATATGAGAGAGGACGGGAACTATGAATGTGTACTTGTTGAGAGGACAGTGATCTGGATCTGACTGCGAAATCCAGAGAGTCGCCCCATTACTCTCAAAAGAGATCCGATTTTCACCTGGAGAACCAATCAAGGAAACCCTTAATTCCTGGCATAGAGTACTTGCTTCTACTTATCACAGCCACAACATGCCAACGTCCTCTACTGATTGTTGTACACATATTCATATTCATATACATAATGTTCATTGATGAAATAATCTTGTTCTACACTCACAGTCTTGGCTTGAGTATCTGCAATGCCGGCCTGCAACTCCAGGTCTGACTGTTTCCAATGGGCGAAATAAGATGATTTGTAATGATTCGTCCATAAGATGCAAGGAACACATCCCGTGCCATCGTCTACTGGAAAATCCTACGACAGAAAAGTACAGCGTCAACCAGCTCTTCCACGCGTATAAAAGTAAATTCTGTTCCATAGAAGACAGTGGAGATCATGCTCCAGTTGAGGAATTACAAAAAAATGAAGCTTCCTGGCACAGTAGGCATGCTTTGAAAATGCCTTCGAAGTATAATAAACTGGCCTAGGCAGAACTGAAAAGCAGGGTCTTTTTTCTAGATCTTTTAAAACACCCGAAAACGTACATTTGAAGGAAACGTAAGAATCCCGTCGGTCGACAGTCACCACCACTCCAACAATCTCCACCTTCTTCACTGGGCGACCCTTCCGAGTACAGCTCCCTGGTCCCACAATCACGCAAACCCAACATTTATGTTAGCCTCTGAGGGCAGGGGGAAGGGCAGAGCAAAGACAAGCGCAATCATCAAGTATTATAAGCTGCATTGTTCTCTAAACTCCGCATGTCATACAACGAATTCAACTGCGAGAGTGAAACTCAGGCCTCTGGAATCATCGGACCTCCTTGGGGACCGGGGTGATGTTGCACTGACAGAAGGTCGAAGGCCAGAAGTCGGACCGCACTGAGGGACATGGGATCCGCCAAAGCACATCCTTTCCCCGAGCCGGTGGCCTCCATTCTGAGAGTCGGATAAGAGATGACTGGCGGGAGAGATACAGCATCGCAGCCCGTTCGAAATTGTCGACCAGAGCTCGTAATCAGGTTAGCATCCCGACACCACAAATCTGACGGAATGAGATGAAAGATATCGACACATTGTTTCTGACCGACCCACAGATCTCATAGCAAAGAATCGCTCTAGTACGTACGTGAAGCCCGACGAAACGCGGTAAATTTTCGCAGGGCAGGGGATCAAAAGCCCAAATCACAGATTCAGTATCAGAATAGTGGGGGACTGCGATTGCCGAAAGTTGAATCCAGTGGGAATCAAATGCAAATGAAATCGGAATCGATTGTTTCCCCCTCACACTTTTCGTTCCCCTGCCAAAACACGAGCATAGTCACCTCTCTAGGCTTATCTAGCGTCATTCTTCGTCGATGGAATGTTTTAAATAAATATATATTTAAACATTTTCTTTTTAGACATCAATCCGTAATAGTCTGGATGGTTAGGATACTTGGCTTTCACCCAGGCGACCCGGGTTCGAGTCCCGGTTACGGAATGTGTATCAGCGGGGATAGCTCAGTTGGGAGAGCGTCAGACTGAAGATCTGAAGGTCGCGTGTTCGATCCACGCTCACCGCATTTTGCTCTTGTTCCTTCTGACTGCAGGGCAGTTGTTGAGTTGAGGTTATGGCAAGTTTGATTTGTGTGCAGTTCGAACATTTGAAGGCGATGCTTTCTCTGTTTCTACGTTGCAGCCATAGGCTTCAGTCACTTTGAGCAGTTGCAAATATGGACTAGTTTGGCGTTCTGTTTGGCCGTCTTTAAAATGAAGATTGGTTAACATTCACATATAATATCTCGAGTACCTATGTAATCTTAGATTCCCCTATTCTACATTGAAGCTTTATAGAGAAGTTAAGTCTGGGAAGTAGCAATGTAGCGAGAAGGATGTCAATACCAAACCAAACGGTTGATATAAGGGTGGTACCCAACAGCATCAAAGTGTGAACTACCTCCGTATGATTCTACTTGCAAACCTGAAGGTATGTTACAGGTTCAAAGATCTTTAAATAGATCTGTGAATCTTCGTGAATCTTAAACTAGCGAGCTTCTAACTAATTGAGGATCTTTATAGTTCTAGCCAGTGCATTATCTAAAATGTTGCTTTCATGCATAAACGATGAATAGGTTATATTGCATTGATATCTATGCATGTTTGCCACATGACAATATTTCTATACGGACAATTTTGACTGAATTGTACAAATTCGAAACCATCATACAAAATTATATATCAATTAATTTTTCAATATTCCATCTTATAAGACCATGTCACATTATAAGTCTGTTAAAATTTTCAGTTGGGTTTCACGAGATTATTTTTATCTATATACACCTCGTTATCAAATGATATAAATTTTACAACTTCAATTATATATGTGATTTTTAATGAAAAAAATATAATATAAAATTTAAAAGACTTGATATAAAATTTTATAGAACTGAATAAAAAAATTTTGAAAATATCACAATTTTAAAAGACTTGATATAAAATTTTATAGAACTGAATAAAAATTTTTTGAAAATATCACAATTTTAAAAGATTGAGTTAAAAAAAAATTATTTTGGAAATGTAATTTGACTATATATAAGTTATATATGAATTTGATGTATAAATTTTTATTCAGAAGTATAATAATAATCTGATATTTTTTCTAATGCGTGTTCTTCAACCTTATAATTTAAAAAAGATTTACAGGGAAAAAAGACATTGAGGTAAAAATCAAAACAATTCAGTCCAAATGAATTAAGATAAGATCTGAAAATTGTAATACATAAAGTATTAAAAAATTTCAAATGAAATCGTAAAATGCGTATTGAAAATATAATATTTTTAAATGTAATAATATTGTAATTTGTTTTAATATGTATTGAAAAAAATAAACACAACACAGAATTCTTGTTATTTTCCATGCACTTATTTTCAATTAATAAGATATTACTGAATGAAGTAAATTCATCAATCAAGCAGCATTCAACAACATGTTTTGAATGAATAAAATGATGAACAAATCCAGATGGTTTAAATTATTGAAAATTGATTACGATAAATCTTTAAAATATCAGTCATAATTAATTATTGTTAAAAGAATTCCTTACTGCAAAGTATTGATATATTCGATGATATCAATGTAGAAACCTTTGAAAAATCTGATTGATATGAAATATAAATATTTAAAATGTTTTTATGGGGAACACATAGAAATAATTACAAGTGTATCCAAACATGCAGAGAGTTGTAATTAGAGCTACAGGAATGAATCTACTCGTCATCTATTCACAAGCTCGATAGAGAAGAGGGGAAGAGTTGAGAATTAGAGCATGCAAGAATATTCGTCGGCAAACATTGCAATATCAGACGCAATGTGGTTACTCTCCTGCATGTACTCAATCGTCTAAATGTTTTGTCTAGATTTATATTTTCGATGTCAACCTAGATGCAAATATGGTTTTGAAGAGGCTGGCCCACTGAGCTCATTCAGCCATCATCGGACTCCACTAAGCTTTCATTCCAGTGAGCGCCAGAGCCAAGACGATTGCGGGCCGGTTCACGAACAAGCTCAAAACATTGACACAGTTATGGTCCAACATGGTCTGAAACATTTCCATCTTGACGAACGCTGACCAAAACAGCCGTGCTGGACAGCTTAGATTGCCATGGGAGCTCGAGGCAGGGTGGGCATCCAAAGCTAAAAGTTCTCCTGTGGTGAGTTGTACCAAGCATATAATATATCAGTGATGAAGGAAAAGCAAAAACATTATGATCTACCATGAAACGCCCAAAAATACTTGATCGGATGTAGCTCGTTCAATCCACATCGCCAAGACCAATCGAACTTCTCGGTGGCGCATCGTCTGTTCAGCTTATCATCATTGTCCTAAAGCGTAGACGCCATGAAATCCAGTACGAATGATTCTTGAAAGCACTCCCGTGTGGTCGATCACGGTGTACGGAAGCGTCTCTGCGTGGCGTGTCGTGTCGTTTCACTGGTGAATGAGACGGCGACTGAGAGCGACGAATCAGTTCAATGTATTCTGAGGTGGTTCGTGTTTCGGTCTGAATGTGATCTGTCAGTCACATCAAATGGAGTTGTCAAATGGCGTATGTCCGAGATACGTGTCAGTCTCATACTTTCTCAACTCAAAGTCAGTTTTCCAGCAAGAGATTCATTAAATCAGGAATGGGTTGAATGAAAGTCAAAGTGATATTAGGCTACGAGATGTTCCACTAAGTGTTCACATTCGGTGTATGGAGGTTCACACGTGCTCGTCTAGACTTGCTGAAGGGAGTCGACAAGACGGGAAGCCTGCTAAAGGATGCCAGTGAAGCTTTGAAATGGGCTACAAGAAGATTTGAAGCCCAGTCGAAGGCTTCGTTCGTGCTATATTCGTGTTTCGGATTTCCACTGAACTCGTTCAGGACCTTTTGGAGAATGTGCGCAGACTTCCTCCCAATGTGGAATATGTTTCATGCTGTGCTGCTGTTCCTATTCCTGATGTGTGACACCGTTCACCATGCGGAGTCGAGGTCCGTTTCGATCATGAGGAGTCGCCCCATCACTGAAGTGACTCCTCGAGTACTGCCCAATGTCGATTCTGCAGAAGGTTGGTTCTTTGCTTGGGACCACACTCTGGCCTGACTGACGTTCACATCTTTTCCTAAAACCTGATGAGGCCATCTGATTTGGCTGTGCATTATCTATCAATATATGGATTGTTCAATCTTCAAGTTTATGGTACTGCTTTCATCACAGAGGAGCTATCGATCATCCTCTCGGTCAAGATCTCCCCCGTTGCACATGAGACAGTCTGACGAGGGAGAGCTCAAAGTGTACCTTATGGGTTTTAGCCATCAGGCGATTCCAGCTAGCGCCGTCCATACTTTCACCCACTGGCTGAAGAGAAATTTAAGACATTACATGGCATCGGTAGGCTGGACTCATGATGCTACTCCCATTAGTATCTACGGATCCAATGTCCGGAGTTTAATGTATATCCTCTCACTTTGTTGACCCTCGCACAGACGAGAGATGGGAGACACCTGAATCTTCACGTCCACCACACTTCGTCTTCTTTGTCTTCATCCATTGCTCTGAAAGAGCCGGAGACTGTCAGTCTGACATGAACCTTCGGGTTTAAGTAATTTGGTAAAACCTTCCGATGTAAGATACTGTATTGATATAGTGGGAACTCTTCGCAGAGTCAGCCGTGCCGTTTCATTGCTTGTGTCGTGTTCTAAGCATTTCGGGTGCATGCAGCAGCGGCCGCACATCCAGATGGACTGCACAGCGGCAGAGGAGTTGACGTACACATGTACAAGCTCCGAAGACAGTGCGGACGAAGACTGACTGCACCGGTATCTGCTTTCGTCGAGTCCTCTAAAAGCATCAGCGTTCAGAGTCCCCTAGCCACAAGCAGCCGGTCGAGACACAATGACGAGGGATCGGAATTCAACATTTCGCCATGTGATCAGTCCGCTGAAAGCTATGCAGCTGATCATGTTTACGGCGCACAGCAGGCGTCTGAGAACCATCCCATCTTTCAGGATTCTGATCCCCTCAATCCGATTCACCAGGACAGCAATCGGCCTTCATCACACGCTCATGATCACACTGACTACTTGGATCCAGAAGTCCATCCTCCAGGCAACTATGAGGGATAGAGGTTTTCTTCTTCAGTCTCCAGTACTTACAATATATACGATCCATGACTCCACAAGCTGACGGCGAAGAAAGTTTGAAGTAAGCACTGTAAGTAGAGGCTGTGAGGTTGGATGGTGAAGAGAAGACCAAGCAAAGTCGGAGATTCTTCGTCTGTCTTGACTACGACTTTTCTCATAATTAATTCTGTTATTACAATATTTCCTGCGGTGACCAGTTGGGAAACCCATGGTATGACCCTATTGCATAAAAGGTTTCGAGCTGAAAGGACGTTGAGATACTCCACCTCAGTATTTGCACTTGTTGCTACTTTTGCAGCAAAGTTTTTACTTCGAAACCTGAATCAGATGCAAAGCTCGGGAATATCTCAGTGCAGTAATACTGCACTGGGTCTCGTCGTCGGTCAGAATCGAATGCCAGTAGGTGAAGCGTGGTGACTATGATGAGTTCCACAACCTCAAGTGACCTCCGCACAACGGTGGCTTTCGCTGCTGTTGTGGATGAAGTTTTGGACGTGTTTGTTCTTTCATTGTTGGTTCTTGTAGTCGGTCCCATAGCCCTCTATGAAACTACGAATGTTTATGTCTTGTTCGAGTACATCCGTCTTGCAAATAGTCTTTAGATTACGTTCATTTGTCTCAAAATACATTCAAACTTTAGAAAACACAAATTACAGACCGCTCTGACCTTCAGGTGCTGAAATCGATCACGGTTTCAAGTGCTGAAGCGACACAATATACAAAAAAGCTGGAAATGTTTGAATCGTTCTCACTTCAAAAATCGCAGACTGTCTCCTCCAAGTGCATTCATGCAATGCTCCGTGTTCTCCACCGTTATTTGCAAGATGGATCTGCACTCGAACGATGCATTAACGTGTCTTTGGTAAAAATATTCTACAGATTGCTTTCTCTTGAATCAGCCGTGAGTCATGGATCCACTTCGTACGTGAGGACATTTCTGTCAAGAAAGTGTAAGGGATACCTGTGCAGAGATGAAGCCCCCACTATGTGCATGCATCTTCATTGGCCCATTTAATTTGCACAAATTACTGCTCCAAGACACATGCACACAAAAACACACTCTCTCTCTCTGGTCTGAGATCACTGTCACAGGAAAGACCTCAGTGTCGTTCCTGCTATGCCCGCTATTTGAAATCATCATCAGTTGCGACTGCCGAGCAAATTACCCCATCAAGAGTAGTTTTTAAATTCAGACCGTTCGTTTGTTTTTTAAAAGCCTTGGAGGGACTTCACTTTTGTTCGGGATTCAAGTCATCTGTCGCGCATTCGACCCACTTGCTTGAGATTTGGGATCATAGACGATGCAGAACCATAGTAAGGTCTCAACTTCGTCCATCAGGCCCGTCAGCTAACATCACACTCTGCGCATGGGAACTCTGCGTGTAAACAAACGGTGCGTTTCACAGCAGCACCAGAAGAAAGTCGAACTTGATCGTGAAAGCTCTGTTCGACATGTGGTTTATGGAGGTGTCAGAAGTTTTGCTACACTCGCCCAGGATGAGGATGTTTGCAGATGTACTCGTCACGATTCACAGCATGCAGCTGCTAATGCTTCTCATCGTTGGGATTGTTCATCACACCGAAAGCAAGTCCAAGCCCATCGAGCGACTGGAGGTCAAGGCTACTATGTGTCCCGGATTGGTCTCATCAGAAGGTGAGTTCAATGGATGGTTCCGTTCCATTTTGTTACAACCTAGTGTCAGCGGAGCACATCAATCATGATTTGACCCTAGATTTGGAGATCTGGCTTTGGAACTATCGAGTACTTGTAAGATTTCCCTTAGTGAACAAAGCAAGACCTCCACAACAAAGGACCGAGTGATTTCAAATTAGTCTTCTCACACTTGATTGTTATTGTACTTAGCATGCTGCACTCCATCTGTTCTCTACTTCCGTCCTTGTTTCAGTGGCAGCACTGCTTCATAAATCGAGATGCGAGTATTGGCCTTTGCCTGCATTTTTATCGCTTTGAATTTGACATGAATCCATTCCTTTGCTATATAGTTGGCATCCTTCGGTCTTAGTTTCTTGGAGCAATTGACTGAAAAAGTTTCGGGAGCATATGCAAAGGGGACCGATATCTTTGTTCCTTTGTTCATGCTCCTCTCTTCAACCTCGTCTGGAGTGGCAATCACACCGTTGCTATACGAAGTAGCTCAAGGGAAATGTTGCAATGTCGAGATATAAGTGGATTGTCGTATGTCATATGTCATATTCTCCCTCCCTGTCTTCATTCCGTCTGGCTTGCAAACTCAAAATCCTCGTTCACTCACTTGGTTGAAGTTCCAGCTGAGAGTCATCTCGATTGCTGGAGCGTTGCACTTTCGAAGTCTTCACCGCTTCACGCCAATGAGTGAGGAGAGATGGAACATCCATCCCTCGTCGACCAGAGGGGCTATGGCAAGCTCGTGTCTTCTCAAAGAAAAAAGGAGACTTCTTATGATTGTCGACTGTCTCTTTGGAACCGATGCTGTGAACGAACAAACGATTGAATCATGGTTTCGTTGATTTGGTGTTGATGGAATTGAATGTGTTGCGACTCTCTGACCGCCGAGTGCCCGACGTTCCTGCAGGGGCTGCATTACGAAGGCTCAATGAACTTGATGAATTTCGATACCTGCGCTTGCGAGGTCGCAGCGTCGTGACCCGCTCACTGAACTGTTGTCGTGTCGCCGATGGGTCCCCTGAGGAAAGCCGAAGCCAGGGCCAGGATTCCACGGACATGACCAGAAAATCGACATATAATCACCAGAATTTCCACATCGGCATCGTCGTGGAGCACTGGGGCCCTCCTGCTGCTGCTTCCAGCTCTCTGCCAGGGCCGAGATCCTCCTCTTCCGACGAACTGCAGCGCCAATTCAGCGGATCGAGATTCAAGGAGCCGGTCTTCAACGCGAATTCGACACAGGCTGCTTCCGATGTCGAGAATGGCCACATTGCTGCCTGGTAGCAAGCCCATGCCTCGACATTCCCGTCCCTTTCGACCTTCTTCACCAGCGCAGTCCGAATCACCGCCGCGATTTTGCACTCTTTACGTCTCTCTCCGGGTCGCAGCGAGCTCGGTCACGGACGAAATCCGGAGCTAGGCGCAGCACCACGCAGATTGGCAATCCTTGACAGCTTTTCTGCACAATGTAGAATTTACATTATTGTTCTGAGTCGTCAATTTAAGCACGAGTCGCTGCTTGCAACACCCTCTCGATGGATCTATCTCATTTTTATTCAATGTGAGTCTGTCTTGTTGCAATCCTAGCATCAGGAGAGGCTTCGATACAATTCTACGACATCGTTCTGAATTTTAACCGATTTTGTGCAAATAAATTTCGTGCTGTACATTGGAATTTGTAAATTGTTGTGCTGGTTCTGGGGAATCGCGACACAAGGTTCGGTTTGCAACTCTGCAAGTCAATATTTCACTCGGGGAGGTGAAGTGGACTTACCGTGCAGTGATGGGGGATGGGGGATGGGGGCACGATCATCGAATGGTGATGGCAGCAGATGCCGGCCGCAGTGCATTTGTTGTGAAACCTTCACATTCAAGAACTTGAAATGATGAGAAGTGTACTTCGAGTCCGGTCTCCATATTGTCTTGTCGTCGTGACCCTTTAGCATGATGCTTCCCGTGACTAAGACGAAAGCAAATGATCGAAAACGGTTGGTGGAACTCATCCTCTTCATAATAAGCAAAGAAGATGAATATTCAGTGCGGGCTGACAAAATCAATTGATCGATGGAACTGCAGACAATTTAGCATTAACTTAATCCCGGCATCCAATTGTGACCAGCTTTGTTTTCAAGCCCTCCTTGTTATATTTTCAAACCTTCAAACACTTAACAAAAGGAAGAAACGGGCAAATCTCCTCGTCCAGAGACGTGTTGTCACAGTTGCTGGAGCCATGCATACACAGAATTTGATGATGCAACTGAGCCAAAATTGATGACGAAAGATCATGTTGATGAAGCTGAAGCCGGCTGAACATGGCCAATAATATGATATGTGCCTAGACACGAGAGCAAGCTCAGGATTTGTTCGAGGAAGCTGATTCCCGAGGCCGTGAGTCTCAAGATGGCCGAATCTCGAGACAGAAGAATGTCAGTAAACATGGCAGCACACAAATTAGATTGTATAGAGCTCAAAATATCTCAAATCTGACCCTGAGAAGAGATCAAACAAAACCGAAGTGTTTGGAGCCTACACATGCTCTTGTCGATATCCATATGTTCAATTCTCAAGGTGAGACTCTGTACATTTACCCAAAAGAGAACTTTGTACTGCTAGTTCCAAAACCTGACCTGAAAATGCTCGGCAGATCAGCATAGTACTCAGCCTCTGTGTCATGGAAACCGAAAGTTTAGAAAGACACGAGGCCTAAGCGCCCACTGCTGAATCTACCCGAGGAAGACGAGGAAAAGGCCAAGACCAGGGCTTCAGACAGATTCCATGGCGTGCACAGCTTTCATGTGCTGATTCGAGCCACGAAAAGGATGTGGGTCCACCTTGCGATCCCTGTTTCGAGGGCTTCGGTGGACCCACATGGCCCTGCATATGACCCGAGCGCTGACTTGGGATGAGTACTCGGAGAATCTCCACTGAGAAATGGCAATTTCGCTCTGGCTAGCTGGCAGCCTTAGGTTGGCGGCGAAGATTGGAGTGCTGGGCGTTGCCTTCTGCCGCTGGTACATATCTGTCGCAACCTCTCGTTTGAGCATCCATCACGCCAACATTCCTCCAGGGGCGTACTCTCCTCAGCTGTGTACAAGATCCCTGGAGGAAATGTCTGCGAGGGATTTATTTTTTCTGCTTTGCTTGTTTCTTCCCCGATTATTTTCAGCCGGAGCTGTCGACCTCCATTCGCGATAGCAGGCTCGAAAGGATCGGCAAATTCAGTGACACTGTGTAGGTTCGGACTTGGAGAGTTGTGAAAAAAATCATTTCTTCGTATAGATTGGAACGTCGGGCAGAACGAGCGGAGCTTTGAACGCTAGAGAAATTTGTATGTTCTAGAGCTCAATTCGACGGGTTGAGTGATTTTGGTGCGGAATTTGCGAGGTTTGGGGTCGAGCCCCGAGAAGCGAAACAGAGGGTACGGAGATGCTCTCTGCAGCGGGTGAAGCATTGAGAGGAGTGCTGAAGAAGGACGAGTGCGATGGAGATTCTTCCGATGACGACAAAGGGGAGAAGCCCACCATGTCCGCCGAGCATTGGGCGCATGTCAGCCATCCCGGATACGAGAAACCTCAATTCCACCGCCATTCAGGTATATTCTGTAACGAAATCCCTCGTGGCGTAATGCTGAGAAAGCTGGGCCTTTTCGCTGGATGAACTTTTGCGTTATCTCTTCGCTCGTCAGTTTATTCCCGTGCCTAATGTCCGGGTGATCATTCGTGATACCAGCAGTCATGTTCAAGCAAAATTTCTCCGAAGAGAAGTCTTCTGAGTTGGTACTGGTTCTCACCATTGACGAGATCTAGTAATTTCCACCAAACTCGACCTTACCAAACCTGTAGAGTTTTAAAGGAAGAGACTCGCAACTCCTCGAGATAGATTTGCTCACTTACGATTTAGAGGACAGGCTCCGTCCAGCAGATCAATCTGTCACCCAATTCGCGGGTCTCGAGACTCGAGAGGTGACGTGCTCTCATTGTTTCAGTCCCTGGGCTTTCACGGGCTTTCAATAATCTCAGGCTCCATCGACATGAGACCAGCTCAAAATGGCATCTCATCACTGAAAGGAGATGTATTGCCACAAGACGAAGCTCATTGCACTTGACGATCGTTATTTTTAACCGACTGAAATTACCGATTCAGCGGCTTAGTTGTCGTCGAATGTGTCCATTTCATAGCCTATATTCTTATCACTCATGCTGTTCATCCAGTCCACTGAAAACTGGAATCGGTCCTCCAGAGTTCGTTTATTGTGGGTTGGGACTCTGGCCATGTCAAGGCATTGACGAATCGGTCTATCCGGGAAATCGGCCATGAAATCGAGAAAGGGATAGGATATAAGGTGAAGTGAAGTGAGAAGGGCTTTATGTGCATGGATTGTTGACACATTCGTTGCGTGCGTGTGTTGGCCATTCGAAGGTTCAGATGCTGCTGACAAAGTTCCAGCAGCAGTCCAAACCAGTCTTGCAGCGGTAGCTGCGAGCATCATCTATAGTGCAACAGGGATGAGCCGCTGGGGCCTTGCCGAGCTCACTTTGGGGCTGTACAAGGTCTATTGTCGGCACACTCATGAGAAAGTAATCGACACAATCTCTGGCTACCAAGTCACTTCCATGTAAGCAATGAAACTCTTCCTTTTCATTTGACCTTTTGCAGCCACGTCTGATGAATCCTCTCAAGATAGTACGCTTCAAGCATCCTTTCACTGAAGGACGCTTCAGTGAATGGAAGGCGAAGTGAATGAAGAATGTGTTTGTGAGTCACTGATCTTTCCTTTTGGGGTTTCAGTCGGGAGATGCAGGATATTTCTCATTACCTCAAGTGGGCGAAGGCTGCTTATAGGGAGAAGACGGAACTGCTGACAGCAGATTTGGAGGTCAGTTGATCAATCAAGTTTATGAAACAGGGAATTGGTTTATAGAATGAAGTGCTTGCACAGTTTTCCCCGCTCATATTTCTCTGGTGAAGAAGCCGCAGAATGCAGTAGCCTTGCAAATTACATGTGGCAATAATGTCTGTTCTTGGAATACGTGTAGGTGGACGAGAAGGACATCATCAAGCATGAAACAACGTCGGCATTCGGGCAACCTGCTTACTTTGTAGCTCTGAATCACGCAAAGAAGGCAGTTGTTCTAAGCATTCGTGGCACCTTCTCGGCTATAGATGTATTGACGGACTTGAAGCCACACAGCGAGAACTTTGGCGACGGGTGAGTTGCAAAATTTATTTTCTCTCGCCTCGTATGACATTCTGAATTACGGTTTATTATCACATCTTCTCCAGAGCTGAAATGTGCGGGACGCACAAACTGGAACTAGCATACCTTTCTCTTCACATACTGCACTTCCGTCAGTTTAGATTTTATGAACTTACGGCCTGTCCTGTCTCCAAAATATGCTCTGCCTTCTTATATCACGCTGTTAGCTCTAGCTGTATAAATATTCTGTCCAGATATTCTACCATAGATCACCATCAAAGACTTACGTTTTAAGGTAAGGAACATTGTATTGAACGGAGGCGTTTTTGTTCTTCCAATGTTCGTAGGTATGCACACTCAGGCATGCTTCATTCAGCTCAGTGGTTGAAGGAGAATACTCTGGAGATGCTGCAGGAGCATATGAAAGAGAAGGTAACGATGCACAGCACTGAAAAGCTTGACTTTCACTGCACTGTGCTGGATGAATCTGTCTCCTGACATCTGTTATCAATGCGTCTTCTTGCACTTTAATGAACTATGTTTGCTTTCATCATGCAAAGACCTGCTTGCCGTGGAGATCCTTCCAACTCGTGTCTCTTGTCTTGGAAACAGGGCTATAGACTGGTAGTGACAGGTCATTCCTTAGGTGCAGGTGCAGCATCACTGCTTGCCATGTTACTGAGGAAAACTGATGAGAAGGGTCTTACTGCGCTGGGCATACGCCCTGAGCTGATCACTTGTTGGGGCTTTGGGTGCCCTCCGTGTGTGGACCAAACGACAGCCCAGCAGACCAAATATATCAAAAACATCGTCCACCAGGTATGTCACTTGCGGTGTTCGTCAGTATCTCTCGCGATTTGACTAACCCAGTCCTCTTCATTGCGCTTCCACATACCTTTTATTTGTTTAGAGACCCTGTAGAGCAAAATCAAACTGTGACATAATTGTTATTTCTATGTCGCCTTTCATTTTGAAAGATATTGTCTTCCATTCGTACTTTTTGTTCATTCCATCTTCTTTCGCTTCCACTCAATTTTGCAGTCGCAAAAGTGTACTTCGCACACCTTTCCCAGTAGGATATCTGTTCTCTGATTTCGGATCGTAACCCTCAAATTATGCCCAGATGTAAACAGATGTAGCTTTCTGAGACTAATCATGAGATTGCTTTCGGCCATTCTATGTCTCGTTTCAGGACGACATTGTGGCAAGAATCAGCCCGGCTGGACTCGAAGATTTGAGATCCGAGATTTTAGAGACCGAATGGTATTGCACTCTCTACTTTTCTATTTGATGTATCGTTATCGCGTCCATACACAATCAGAAGATATCTCGCCTCGTGTGCTTAGTGTGTGCTTAGTCGACTTAGCTCTAACTGCATTCAAAGCTCACTGCTACATCTTCTCGTTTGAGTATGAGCTTTCAGAACTACTTAGTAATGCTCTGTACTTATGAAGAATGCCAATAGTGAACGAAACATCACTTCTCAGGTTGTGGTGGAACGCTGAGCGAAGTCCTACACAGTAGAATAACAGAAAGGATGGCTAGACCCCATCCAGTCGTACATGGATGAAACCAATCGGTACCGATTGGTTTCTACCTAGGGCCCCAATAGTCAACGCTGAGCATAGTTATCGACTGCCCCACCAACTGTCGGAGATGGATCTGCTACCGACTAGTATGGTGGTGTGAGAGAGTGAGTGACTTGGAATGAAATGTATGGAGATTAAAGGAAACGCTATCAATTTGATCGGTGTTCTGTAGGAGTCACGCTCTTGAAGACGGGAGTACGAGACGGAAGATTGTGGAGCTAGCCCAATCATCGGCTGCAGCGCTAGAAAAGCTTGAGCCAGCTCTGAATCTGGAAAGGGGCCAATTGTACTCTAAAGTGAAGGACACAGGTTGGTCTGCTTTAATGTCTGTCGGCAATGGCTTCGCACAATCCTGGACTAAAGCTGTGGAGGGCGCTTACGGACCCAGATACGGGCAAGCGGCCACCATCATCAGCAAAGGAGCAGAGATTGCAGCAAAACAAATCAACGTCGCCACTAAACATGGTAACTCTCTCGTCACTGTCACCACTGTCATTCTTAAGTCTTCCTAGTCTCCAATTCACTGTCACATCCTGCTTTTGCACGTGTATTACTAGACCATATTTTTATCCTCCATATTCTATCAATCTCTCTTTCTTCAGCCGTCAGCAGAGATCAGCCCTCTTTTCATGAAATAACCTTCAAATCTATCAGTGCTGATCATATCACTCCAACCTAGATAAGCAGTCCATTGCCTCCATGCAGTCTGGAGCATAGCAGTTGTGGACCTAGTGATGGAGGATACCCAGAGTTCAGGACCCAGGCGAAACTGTGGGTGATGACCATGCCACTTCTAACTACATAAACAGTCTAATAGTCTAGCATTCCTCTTCGTCGTAAATTTGTTTTTTATAAATCTGTTCGTATCATGCTCGTCTGTTGTCCATAAGTTTTGTGGACCTAGTGATTGAATGTGCATATAGCGCAGGATCCATGAAAAGGGGGTAATGAATGTGAGGATATAGCTCTTCGGTTTTTGAATCCATCGTGGTGATTGATTTGCAGTGACAACGACAGTGAATGGTGCCATAGATCAACAAATGAAGCTCATAGACCCAGAAAGAAAAGACGCCACGGTGACTGCTTCGAGCATGGCCGCCAAAGCAGCTGTGGTCACCGAGAAAGAAGAAAAGGCCTTGCTGCTGAAGAACAGGCTCGTCGTTCCAGGGACTCTTTATCACGTCATACGAAGGCCTTTAAAGGGCGATGAACAGCCACCTCCAGATGAAGTGCCTGATAAAGAGAAATGCGCCACCGACACGGCTTACAGGTGGCTGGTGATTCGAGGTGATGATCCCGCTTCTCGGTTCAAGAGGATAGTCATTTCCACCACCATGATTTCCGACCATCTGTGCTTGAACTTACAAAACTCTCTCGCCAACGCCATGAAATGGCACCTCCATGTCATTCAAAAGTAGGTGTCCTTGAATGTCGATTTGACTAATCATCTTGCAGCTCTCTGAGCGACATCTAGGGACTAAAGTGGCACGGTCACTGCAAAGACAGATCAAAATGTACATAATTGCTCGTATAGAGTGCCTTTACCAGTAAGGGCAATCCGAATTCTGGAGGATTTACTCGAGTTTAAGGTCGTCAACTGTAGGAAGCGATACGCAGTGGCTAGCTAGGAGGAGATTATACAAATCCATTATGGATGTCTTTCACATTTACTCATCCTCTCCAAGATCAGCTGGAGGATTGGATTAGTCAAGAGTCATCCGTCTGCTTAGATCCCCTTTGACAAATAATTTCATTAGAGGTTCTCTCGTTTACTTTTGAAAATTCAGGCCATCATGTTGTACTGTTCAAAGATGTTCCAGATGGATGTCCAAGTGTCTTACATAGAGCAAGTTAACAGTGTTTGCGTATGGCTTACGCTTTGATGTTTACGCGCTTCATCTGAGTAATGTACGTGTGCTTTTACCGATATTTTACTATCATTCAGTCACGCTTCTTCCATACAGTCGCACTCTGTCTACTATCTACCAGCTTTAATGCACATTTAATTGCAGTGGCTGTTGGTTAGTTCGATGTTAAGAGTAATAGTGGTTTGTTGACTTAATTTATATTGGGATACGACTTTCAATGTCTTACTTTTGCAGCGAATTGGTTTTAGTTCATCTTCCTTTTATTCATGATGTATTAGTCCGGTAGAGTGAGAAGTGCGTGGTTTTCGGCCGAGCTCACAGTTTTTTTAAAGACTATGGCCAGATTACCAATATACGTTGATCTCATACTATTGATTATAATGTCGAAGAACGGGTGAAGATTTAGGTCACTTTTTACGTGTAAAACACATAGAAGTCTCAGACGCATTGCCATCTTCCTTTGTGAAAGAGACAGACTTTCGTATTATAAACAAAGCAGTAGGTAAGCTTTTTCCTCCAGGGGGTGGGAACTTCATTTTTCAAAGTGCAAATTGGAGATTAGAAACACGGCAAGGAAACGAGGCGTATTAGAATTGGACTAAAAAAGAAAATAAGCTACGGGGCAGCCTCCCCCTCCTGAATTCCACCACACCCTCATTTTCCGGAGACAGTAGACAAGGCCGATGATAGGATCATAAATTTGAAACACAGACGCAGGTCTGAATTTTACGTAAAAGGACAGAAGGGGCATTTCCTTTGACAACGTAAGTGTGTTTCTGACTGGATAACTTTAATAGTACACATGTAGATAGCTATGTGTATTATTCAGCGGGAATCGTCCGTAAAGCTCGCAGGCTCCGAGATAATTTACAGTGAGAGATGAGCTGAAGCGAGAGGATTCTCAATCTGCTACTACTCTTGGATTCTCTACTCGATTAAGATCTGGATGCAAAAGTGAAACCATTTAGTGATTCTTCTGGCATACAAGGTCACCACGAAACCCAGATGCAAAGCTAGATTCACAAGTCCGTATATGCACATTGTTGTAAGGATTTCAGAAGTAGGTAAGCCACTGAACCTCGGTATAGTGCAGGTTAGAAACGCAGTCGGGATTCATGACGCCTCTTCAATGGGAAAACAATATCAACGAAGAAACAGAGAGCAGCGAAATTCCTGTCGCCAGTGTCCACGCAGACTTAGCTCCGAAAAAGCCGATCAGCGTCAGACTTGTCCTCATGGAAGAAATCCGTCAATGTCCATCTGCAAAGCACGAAACCTCACGGACCTTGGCAAATCTTTCCCGTGGAGACGACACCGCCTGTCCACATGCCTATGCATCCACCTCCCGATGGGTTGATAAACACATGATCCTGTCGCGCTTCCTCTATTCGAATACGAAGGAGTCTCAACAGCCGTCGAGCGTTGTCAGGACGAAGACACTTGAGTTCCGCCAAGGGCGCAGGAATTGGTAGACTAAGGGCTCGGTCTCGAATGCTGTGACAGATCGTCACAATCGAGCTCAAGGAAGCTTTGCAAATTTAGGGTTGCGTGAGGATGGGTAGCAATTAGGGTTTGTGAAATAGATTCAGAACCACGGCAGAACTCTGTCGTGAACTGCGTTGGTAGCCATGTTCCTTCTTGGCTGAAGATGGGGCGGTGCAGTCAGACCAGCTTTCCTTGTCTATTAGAGCCAGAAAATAATTCTCTGGATTCTCAATCACTTCCTCCGAGTAATTATAAGTGTTATCTCAATTTTAAAAATAAAATTCGTTTGGTACTTAATGGTGTTTGAACTACCTTGGAGCATTTGAGGATGGCTCGCTAAATAGTTATTTAGAGAGGATGGTAATATTGTGGTCATATCAGAAATTATCATGATTTCCGGCCTTCTATATTTGGACTTTTTGGAACGTTAAAATTTATATTTTTCATTAATATAGCATATAGATCAAATCGATTGTTGTGCAGATAGTAGAATTGAGATATTGGAAATGAAGTAGATGGTCACCCTTGAATAATTAATCATAAATACATATATATTAATATGAAATAAAAAGTCTGCAACCTTATTTAAGAATACCCTCTATACTGAATGCTAAAAAAGTAGGGGAGTCATAGATCTTGAAAGAGTCAGAAAATGTATGATAGATCCTATTGACATGTGTGACATAAGCCATTGTTCATGTCCATGAGTTTACTATTGCAGAATGACCGATTTTATATCTGTATGTGGTAGATTGCAAACTATCAGTTTTCTACTAATCATGATTATTTTTGAATGTAAGTTCCATTTTTTGCAAGAGCAAATCTCCCTTATTTCCACTTTAATATAGGTTCCGCAAGATGATGTTAAAGTCTTTTTGTAATACGTTGCAATTACAGGGTGCAGTTAAAAAAATAATTTTGTTTATAGTTTTACAGTTTCAAACTTTTTTTGACATTCAAATTATTTTGGAAATTTGATTGGAATATGGTTGAAGTTTTTTGAAATTTAAAGATATATTTTTCCTACATAGATTTTACTATGAGAAATACGTTAAAATAATTACATCAGTGAAAAATATTTCAAATTTCATAAATTTCCACTATCATCATCAAGAGTTATTTCAATGATACATTGGACAAAATCTTTGAATCCCTCTAGTATTCAATAGTTACTTCCTTTGTTCTTGAATTTCATATTTCATGAAAATAAATACATTAAGAAGAAATATTTAGAACATCAAAGATGTATCATGTTTGACACTTAGACATCCTAGCCTTGAAAGCTTACAAGCTCAGTAATCAATTACAGATTCATCTATTGTTTTAATATGAATGATCCATTGTATATTTCATAAGGAAAAGAATATTATCCGCATCTGTAAATTGCACGATTATGTGGAATATCACATTTTTAGAAAATACTTGTGTTGATAGAGATTTGCGTTAGAACCTGTATCATTTTTGTATGATCATATTTTTTTGTGAACATCTCGTATTGCATTCCAATTAGGTTGAAGACAACAAAGCGTCCTTAAATATAAGACTTATGAGGAACTCTACCATCCTAGCATTATGCCTATGGAACTCTGTGTATAGAATGTCTGTATAATACATATGTTTAATAAAGGGAGCCACTAACCAGCACTCACCCTGTCTATATGATTGATTTTAGACGTTTTAAAGAAAAGTATATCACAATCTTTTTTTATGATAGGTATGTATTGTAAATTCTAATTCAAAATTACACTTAAAACAATCCGATAATGTTATATCACTATTTACTATTGACATATTGTTCTTATTGAACAACCCTGCTGGACAGCTTTTCGCGTTGGAAACTAATGGTTGTGGAATTTTAGTGTCATATCTGACACTATTCTCCAAACTTGTCTTGGATCAACCTTGTCTGTTACATCGCTTGAATCTGGTAATTACACCAATAACACAGTACTTACGAAAGTCATAGTACCATCCTCTCCCGTGTCAGAATAGTACAGTAAAAATGTACATAACTGATGTGCAGGCTTCTCTAAATACGACATATATGGAACTTGAGGGCCAAAGTGCCGTATTTCGTTTTCAGAAAGTTCCTTATTTCCAACCAAAAGTATTTGTTGTCTAAGTGTAGAACCTACCAGAGTCACGTAACTAAAATTTGGGGTGGTAATTTTTGACAAATCTTTGTTGATGTAGGTAGTTTTACTAGAGAAACTTACGCAAATATTCAGCTAAATCTTTGCCGTGATCGTTTTTGGCAATTTCTTTGTTCATTACCGTTACTTTACTAGAGAAACTAACTGAGTACTTGACTAAAACTTTGCGGTGACACCTGATGAGCTCAACCAAGTTCTCATATTTTGTTTCCTTGGTTATCTCATTCACTTGTAATTTTGAAAACACAAAAATTTATTCAATTATTCTAAAATATCAAATAAGTCTCAAAATTTCTCGAAAACAAAAATACAAAGATAAAATAGTGAACCCAGAACATCACGAAGTCGATGTTCTAGCTATTGACTGAAAAGTTTGATTTCAGGTTTTAAAAATAGATTCCTTCAACATGGAGTTTTTCGTAGTATTAGTTTCACCATATCCAAACACTTCAACGGTGTGAAGAGTGATTTCTCCTTGCTAAAATGGGAAAAGTATATTTAGAAATGAAAGATAACACCCATTTCTGTCGAGGTTGTATTACATTGCCGAAAAATTCGGCCGAAAACTTGGAATTTTAGGTCAAAATTCGGCCGAAAACTGTACAGCTCCTTATGTTCCGTATTTCGATTTGAAAATTACCCCTATTTTGTTGAGATACGGAATATACGGAATCCGCCCTATATAGAGAGGCCTGCTGATGTGTAACATAAATGTATACGACTTTCCTAAAATAAATCCGTTGAAGTCGTTGAGATCCCGTAATCCAAGGAATTGGACGATCATTTACAATCGTTTAGATATTCTTGTGTAAAATTAGAAAGCTTGAGCTAAACTAACCTGATAGCAGATCTTAGGAGCCCTGTCCTACCACTCTCTGGCATTAAAGTTAGAATCTATTAGATTCTAACGGGACTGAATCTAACGTTTAGATTCATTGTGCAGTTAAATTTGGATCAGAATCCGAATGTACAAAAATGTAAGCTTTCGGGTGAAAGCTGCTACTGCTGGGGGAGGGAGTTTCGGCGGAAGTCCAGATACTTAGAATCCAGATGGACCATGGCCAGCTCGCCTCACTTCCCAGCCTAGATGCAGGATGCGTTAGACCGCATGAACTTCAGCAGATTCTCCTTTCGATGAGGTAGTAATTTGGCGAGTGTGCGCTATCTCAGCCTGTGGAGAGCAAAGTTAGAATAGAAGAAAATCACATATAGAGGTCTAATGTCAAGCTTTCATGGAGGATGAAAAAATCACTTCCTTGTTGTGCATGAGAATTTGGCATTCACCTGTTCCTCCCAGTTTGTATGCAGGCTGATGACTAAAAGTCCCAGCACTTGACATCCCAGTCCAGTGAGGATGCCGGTGAACAATCCCTGCGAAATTCATGCCAGTGGCCACGTTGGTAAGTCTAGAGTGAGGATGCGGGTGAACAATCCCTGCGGAATTCATGCCAGTGGCCACGTTGGTAAGTCTAGAGATCGTGAAGAAGTAGGAAGGAGACTGACTGTCTGGCACTGAGATAATGAGAACCCTCATGTTGTGAAGCACATCAAGACTAACTCGGTACCTTGCCAGCCCAGCCGAAGCGAAAGGCCAAGAGAATTCCAGTAGGCACGCCAAAGACGTAGAAGCAGACCAGATTGATAACAACGCCCAGGTCTTGCCATCCGGAACCCCTGACAACTCCTGCAGCTCAAGATTCATATCATGATGAGATCAACATCAATCACCGTTTTGTGTTAGTCAGCAGAAGCACCATGAGACGAACCTCATCACACCCTCTCACTACTTGGAAACCTGCTGGAAGAGCTCAGGTGACATCCATAGCTCGCCACTGAAGTAGCAACTATTTTTTTTCACTGAATCTGCACCTACTTTACGATTCCCCGAAACCCTAAACCCCGATTCCTGATAGACTAGATCTTCAGACTTGATAACAGCAAGATACTTTATTCGTACAAAGCTTTTGAATTGTATGGTCTCTGCAAATCAGCCTCTCAAAATATAGAAATCTTTTGGTAAATCATGGGACCGTTGTAAGCTATTACGAGAGCTTACGTTTCCCGATAGACAAGTAATGGATTTGTGATACTCCTATCTACTTTGCTATACTTTGCTACTTTGCATGAACTCTACTTCTTTTTCGACAGACCATTAATTTACACGAAAACCATGTATATGTGATCCGTTCATAGAATGAGCCATCTCCTCTTTCTGTCATAAGACTTCGCCTCCCCATTCTTCAATTTTGTAACTTCAGTGTGGGGTGTTCAACATCAAAACGAACCTTTCAAAATCAATGGAGCGCTAAGAGGTGTAGATTTGGTGATACACTATCATTTCAGAGAATCCAATTCATTCAGATGAAGAAGAATGCTTCAATGTAAGCATTTTCAATGAAATGCTCCTACTATTTAAAGTTGCTTCCATTGATCTGAGTTTGGTGGAGGTGAGAAACTGACCTTGGAGAACACCTTGGAGCCCGTCGCAGAGAACGATGCACGATAAGAAAGGCATGATGGTGGAGACGTATGCGACGACTTCGGAGTCGCTGCTGAAGACAGCGCCCCAAATATTGCGAGCCAAGAACAACGAGCTCGAGACGCCGACGGCCACAGTAAACGACATGCTCATCACCACCTTGATGGCCCTGCGCACTGCAGCAGGATTCCCAGCGCCCATCTCGTTCGACACGCGGGTGCTTCGTCCGTAAAAACCACGCAACGAGTGTAAGTTCATCAGGAACCGCAACAGTGGAAAACTATGAAAATTTAAATTCTCACCTATATATCCATGGGATCCGTGCATTCACTGGAGCTCATCTCCAACTAAGATCAGCTTAGATGCAAACGACTTTCTGAAAGACTCCATCGCACTATCGGGTAGAGGAGAAGGAGAGGGAGATTAGATTAAGATTACTGAATTCTCGACAGTACAAGAGAGGTCATACCTTGCAGCTGCGCCGAGTCCGAGAGGAATCATGTAATTCAATGTCGTGGTATTTAGGCTGGCAGACAAGAAATACGAGAGCTTGCTGAAGTTAGCGTTCTGCTGTGATAATTTCATATGAGGAACTTCATAGATTAGGCTCACAATCAAGTTTCTACATTGCATCTATCGATGAGTATTTTTTCACCAACATGATCTTACCATATGGATAATGCTGAGAGTTCCAGTTCGGGGTTGGCCAACAATCCGGCCGCCAGCACCACTATTTCAAACGCCCAATACTCCAAACTGACCAGACAGAACAGGCCAAAAGGCATCAGCACAAACAACAATGGTGTTTGGCTTTTTGTCAGCTAGAGGCCTCGAAGATTGCAACTGCAAATATGTAACAATTCAAATTTCCGAACTGATCCGACAGAAGAGGCCAAAAGGCATCAGCACAAACAAATACGGTGCTCAGCATTTTGTCAGCTAGAGGGCTTGACTGCAACTGCAAAGATGTAACAGTTACCTTAAACATAGTGCTGGAACCGGAATCAAATTTCCACAAATGTGATCATGAAAGTTTAAGTCCACAACTTCCGAGTCCTTCACAAGGGAGGGAATTGGACTTACCACAGCATGACGCTCGAAGCCACGGCCAGCCTCAGGAAAGGCTTCAAGTCCGTGAATGCTTCTCTCGAAAATCCATTGACCCAAGTTTTCTCGCAACAATTCGACAGTTTAACGAATGTGACCAAGAGGAGCACATTCATCCAGTACGAAACACTCGTGGCTATCGCCGAGCCTCGAAAGCCGAGATCTAGTTTGAAGACCACGAGCCAGCACAAGGCCACATGCAGAGTCAATGTGACAGCTGCACAATAAGCCATGGGCCTGACGATGCTCTGAGTCTGCAGAAATCTAACCAGGGGCTGCAGAAATGCGCTAGCGTAGAGCGCTGGCAGCAGACAAATCACGTACTCCGCTGCTTTGGCAGCGATATCAGGGGCTTGACCCAGCAGCAGGAGGATGCTCTCCATGTTCAGAAAGAGCACAGTCAGTGGCACGCAAGTGCAGCACAGCACGAAGACTGCCCTCTGTACGTATTTCTCCAGCATGTGGTATTGCCCAGCTCCGTAAGCTTGCCCACAGAGTGTCTCTACAGAGCCTGCCATTCCCAACTGTTGGACAAATTTGATCAGCTGCTGGAATTGGCGGATTTTGTTTCATTTGCTTAATGCGTGCGTTAAATGGATGACTGGATGGAGAAAAATTTACCAGAATGTACAAGCCGAGCACACTGGCGATGGAGTTGGCAAGAGATGCGCTGGCGAGCTCCAATTCTCCCAAGTGCCCGACAAACATGATGGAAACCACGAGCACTGAGTACTGTAGGAAATTCACCAGCACCATCGGCAGAGCGATGAGTACTTGGGTCTTGAGCTCCTCTTTGATGGCGGGTATGTCCCACTTGTGCTTGGCAATGCTGCCATCTTTGAGGGTGCATTGCACGTTCCTGGGTCCAGTGACACTCCCAGGATTCTTCCCTTCCTTCCTATCGCTGGGACTCGTGGGCTCTCCGTCCCGTGACCCATTCAGCAGAGGCTTTCGCCACTCGTTCTCCATCGCGCAGCTAAAAGAATCGCAAACTGACAATTTACAGACAAATTTCACCTTACAACTTTCGTCTAGAACTAGACACTATGTTTTCCTAAACTTCCTCAGGCGCCGCCCGACTTTGGTAATGAGTCGTACAAATTGCGGCACGCATTTCTGAGAAGCTAATCCTTGTGATGGAGAATGGGCTTGTGAAGATTGCGTGAGTCGGATGACAAGGACTCGATGGACCGGGAGTCGTCGAAGTGCCTGCAGCTGACGCCAGTCGTCAACGTGGGCTGTGGACGGCTGGCAGATTCTCCGTGGGTCTCACTCACTCGCTCGCGACGGCGTCAATCACGCCAGTGACATGACAAGGCCTCCGGTGTCACGATATATAAACCCTCCAACCATGAGGCACGCAGTCCTACCGATATCTTGCCGTGGAAGAAATGCACCGAGTCTGAAATCCATCGACAATCTGCCCCAAAACCCATCCCAAAACAAACCTGCAGCTCAGGTCCAGTCAGGAGCACAAAACGCACAATGCCCAAGCAGGAACGAATGTCAAGAAGAATCAAGAAGCTATCTGCATCCACACTAACTACCTCAGTCGAGTCCGACCGAATCTTCTCCCCCATAAAGGCACCGAAACAGCGTCCCTCTCGTCATCTCGAGCACGTGTTCCGTCCCCAGGGTTGCACAACAGCAACCGCTGTCAACTGGACGTCCCAAATTCCCACAGTTCCAAAACAAATCCACTCGAACGGAACCCCAAGACAGACAGCGAGGCACTCAGACGACGAATTCGAACTTCGAGAACTTGATCCAGCAGCAGCAGCAGCTAAGTCTCTAAACCACTAATGCCGCAGTCGCCTGGTAGTAAGCAGGTCCACATGAGTCCACGGTGAGAGCGAGCACTGCAAACGATAACAGCAGCTGCCCTGAGATAAGCCTGAGCCCGGCGGGGTAAGCATGGCTTTGCGTCTGCTGTCTAGCTTGGCCTGCTGGTTCAGTCTTATGGTGTCTAGCCTCGGCCTCCCACGTACGCCAAACGGATCGTGAGCATCTGATCAGAATAGAAGGTTTGAGAGGTTTATGTCCGATCCACTTAATGACATGTGAGGATTGGGGAATAAGCTCCTCGTGCAGAAGGAGGAGCGGGACATGGAGTCCATTTATGGCTTTCGGCGGTGGGCGACGTTTGTTCGAGATTTGAAGCAGCTGGATTGGGATTGACGGGGCTGCGGATGAAATCAGGAGCAGGTGTAGTGTCACTTATGGCTGCAGATATTACGCATGCTGCAGCTGGTGTTGTGTAAGTCCGGCCGGAGGATGTTCCCAAGGGCCAAATTGGATGTCGGATCCGGAGCAATAATGCAGCTCTCTGTATCGTCCGCAGGTACGTACCCTGCATGGATCACCAGAAGAGGTCGTAAGCAGGTACCATGGCGTGGGGTGTCCGATAAGACAAGCACGAAAGGCAATGCTGTTGTCAGGTAATGCTTTCTGCGTCCCTCTTCGTTACAGTACTCGATCGTTTGAAAGCTTTTCATGCCATCACTTTCGAAAGTCCACACGTGGACTGCTCGGGAACGCGTGGACCAATGGCTCTCTCGGCGAGAGCTGCCGTCGCCTACACTTGCTGACTTTCACGTTGGTCCTTTCATCACCGCACGTCTTCGCCTGAGCTGGATTTGGTGCCTTCCGGGTTGCGGGACAGTAGCGAGCTCGGTAGATTTGAATTTCTGGCCCAACAGGAAGAATCGCAACTTTTTCCCCTGTAGAATTGCAGACTCTGCTCTGGAATTCTTACTCCCGGAATTGACTCCAGGGATTTGAGCGTTGCATTGGGCTGAATCGCATCATCGAGGTTCGAGAACTGCTCGAGCGGGTGTACTCGATTTCATGAGATGATGTCTCTGAATCTCCACTGGACAGCAACAGTCTCACTTTCTCAGCACGCTGTACATTGCGATTCCGGTCTTGCTCGACCTTCTATGAGGTCTTCAGCTGGAGGCAATGTCGTACACCGTCGAATTGCGCGCAAAGTTTGCTCTCCTGGCACGGAAGGCAAAGCGTTTCGAGCTCCTTCTGTACTCGGGCCAACTCGTCCACGGAGCCAGCAATGGAGGTCCTTTGTTTTCTGCTCCTCTGGCGCCCAAGCTGTGACCGTTTCTCGAACGCAGGTAGGTCGAATAATTCCGAGGAAGCGTGCTGGTGTGTTGATTCGGTGCGATAGGTATCTGCAACAGTGCGTTTAGTAGATTCATGGGTGAGATTCCAGCAGGATTGCGTCCGTCCTCTTCCTGTCTGAATTTGAAAGTAAATGCAGCGAATCATGGAAAGCATACCGACAGGCGAAGAAGCAGGAGGAGCGGGTGGGACATCTTCATACGAGTCGCTGAAGCGTGTGGATAAGCAATGGAAGATGGTGCGGTCGATGGAGCCTGGTAGGGAATTTTACTCTGCATTTCTCACATAAAAAATGAAGTCTTTAATTTATTGTTGTTTTCTGTCATCTTTGAGTGCATCACAATCAAGCATCCGGCTGGAGAAAATCTTTCTGAAGCATGGGATCTGCAGTGAAGGGCTCACCTCCAGAAGTCGTCAGACGGCTCGATGGGCAGATGCTCGGAACTTCGGATCGTGCTGCCCTCAGTGGTAGCTTCGATGTGGTCGTGTGTGGCGGAACTTTGGGAGTGTTCGTTGCCACTGCCCTTGCCCAGCGAGGTTTCAAAGTTGCCATCGTCGAGAAAGGTCAACTTAGAGGGGTAAGATAACCCACTATTGGGCATTTCCTTTCAATTTAGGTGGGAAGAGGAATCAGCTGTAGGATATGAAGCGGGTGAATCAAGTTATCACTTCTAAGTTCTAGAACACGAATAATGAATCCTAAACAAGTTGATTCAACAATATATAACATAACAATAATAAACCCTAAACCCTTTTACACGCTCATTTCTGTGTGAAGCCTAACACTCCGTGCTTCACAAATTCAGAGAATGCAGGAGTGGAACATTTCAAGAAAGGAGCTTTTTGAGCTTGTGAAATTAGGAGTGCTCAATGCCGAAGAAGCTGAACAAGTCATTACTGTCGATTTCAATCCAGTAAGTGTAGTGTATGTGTGCAAACTGTAATTTCGAGCCCTAAGGCCGAAGACTGTGAACGGCTAGACCAAGTAGAGTGTTCACTTGCGAGGCTTAACTTACACGTGAAAATGCCATCGATGGATGCCAGTTCATAGGACGAGTCAAAAGTCCATCAGTCTACTTCACACGATTGTACTTTGAAAAACGTTTTGAGGAAATTTTGAGAAAAGGTCAAGTTTCTGGAAGAATAATCAGTTTCAAGCACACAATGATCAGTTTGTTGCTTCGTGAAGATCGACATTGTGACCAACTTCTGTTTTTGCTTCAGAATCGAGTAGGATTTGGTGCTGGCTCAGATATTTGGGTCAAGGATATACTCCACTTGGGCGTTTCGTAAGTCTCATCCCCCTGACCTCCAATTTTCTACATATTTCTAACGATATGTTTAGCAAGTCGTATCATGCAAGGACATGTTGGTCTTATTCGCGCTTCCGCCTTCATTTGACAGGCCAGCAAAACTCATAGAGACTGTAAAACAACGTTTCCTACAGGCGGGGGGAACAGTGTTTGAAAGCACGGGTCTTTCCAAAGTCGATGTTTTTGACGATGGCGCAGTGAGTACATCCCCCATCTACATTCATGCACGCAAAGTTATCTTCCTATCGTGTCAAATCGTAGATCATGATATACACCGTACAATCTGCAAATCCTGATATGAAGTAGCACTGTGAACAAAATTAACCAAAGCCCTCGTGCTCAGACTTGAAGAAGACAGAGAACCTCTATAGCCACGTTGGTGAGTATTCCGGGGAGATGTTTCAGAGGCAGTAAAGATGAATAGCTTTTCCACCTCTGTGTGCAGGCAGTTTACTTGGATAACGATGAACTTTTGAAAGCACGGCTGGTGCTCGATTGCATGGGAAATGCGTCACCAATCGTGAGACAGGTCTATCCTCACTCTCTAATTACTCTTGCTTGAATCAGTTTTGCCTGTAACAAGAAGAAAACTCCAGGTGTCTTTTCTCTTTCTTTACTACTTGTCATGTTGTCCACTGTGGAATAAAGTGAATACAACGGTTGTATTCTGCTGTGGATGATGGTTAGCTCGGATGAAGCTTGGAAACAGGTTCGCTGGGGACAACGTCCGGATGGAGTGTGTCTGGTGGTGGGGACTTGTGCTCGCGGGTTTGAGAACAATACCAGCAGCGATGTCATTTACACAAACCTCCCCGTGCTTGATGTAGGAAAGTCAAAGTTACAGTTGTTCTGGGAGGTAAAGCTTCATCTCTATTCCTCGCTTCAGTCCCAAGATAATCATATCTCGTAATTTTGTCAGTATGATGAAGAAAGTTTTCATTCTTACCCGCTGACATATTCTTCTTCTTCAGGCATTTCCAGCTGGCTCAGGACCCAAGGACAGAACCACTTATCTTTTCACTTACCTGGATGCAACACCCGATCGCCCATCTTTAGAAGAACTACTAGAGGCATATTGGAACCTTATGCCTGAATATCAGGTAGATTTTTGCCTCATCCTCATCGCTATAATAGAAGTGATGAACCTTGAAGTTTAGGTTAAGATCTAACCATGAATCACTATCTTATTGGAATGAGTCGACTGATTCTTAGAACTGTGACTTTTGTGTAAGGTACTTCTTCTGTCGTTGGAGTAAAACATTTGAGTCACTTACTACAGTATCACGCGTTGAGTTTTATTCGTTCCTCTGACTAGCTGAGTTGGGTGCATCTGCAGAATGTGAAAGTGGAGGACTTGGAGTTTCTGAGAGTCTTATATGGATTCTTTTCTACATATCGAAAAAGGTTAGTGCTTAGGGTTCTCATTGCTCTTTTTCGTTTGTTCGTGTGTTTTCTTAGTGCAGAGGAGTTACAGAAGTCCATGTTATAGGATAGCACTAGTTGTTGGGATATAGAACCTAGTATTGATCCCGTGGTCAAAGATTTGAAGAAGTAAGAATCCAATAAAGAGTTCCTGTCTCTCAGTTGAATGTGCAGTATTGACCCAAGGGTTTAAGGTCAGATGTGGTCGATTTCTGCATTGTGTCCTGACATGCCGTCATTGGTGTATGTTGTCTGCAGTCCTTTGCCTTCAGCTTTTGATCGAATCCTTCAGGTGATCATGCCTCTTTCAACTTATCTCTGCTCTTCATGTCAGAGTGACTTGCATGTCAAGGCCAAATGTATGACAAGAAGGTGATGAATCTTGCGTTTTTCAGATTGGTGATGCAAGTGGGATTCAATCACCCTTATCATTTGGTGGTTTCGGCAGTATTTCACGCCATTTAGAAAGGCTGACCACAGGTATGCCATTGCAAAAGTAGTTCATATGACTTGGTTGCAATATAGCACAATACATTGGATCTGAGTGCCTGATAGAAAATGCGCATGTTATCAATTGTGATTTAGTGCAAGATCCGTTTAGAGGTGTCTAACTGTGAACGACTTTGGACTTTAACTCGAGGAATCCACTTTGCAGGACTCACCGATGCTCTTAAAGGTGACATCTTGGAGAAAGATAATCTCTCTCTTCTGAACCCTTACATGGTAAGTATCTTCATGAAAAATTCTGCGACTCGACACAAATTACCTATCATTAAACCTGTGGACTGGTCCTGTACACTATTACACACATCCAGTAAGCCCAAACGGCGCAGACGGTTGTGTGGCCAGTGCTTTTGAAATCTGCTTTATTATCTTGATGGCAGATATTTACTGAGCTTTGAATTTATATTCAGCAGGCTTAAACGAGATGTTTGACATTTTTGTGCAGCCAAATCTAAGTGGAGCATGGCTATTACAGCGGGCCATGTCAGTACCACCGGGAGGAAGTCCACCACCGGATTTCATTAATGAACTATTGTCAACGAATTTCACATGCATGGAGGTCTGAGTTGTTTAACTATACTGCTAGGTTTTATCAATTTTTTATCCTTTCGTTTTCACTTCACTAGTTTTTTTTTCACATTTTTTGATACCTTATGATATATGGTTTTACAGAAGCTGGGAGATCCAGTCATGCGTCCCTTCTTACAGGTTCGGGCCAACTTGTTCTAGAAACTTGTATAACCTATTGTGTCCTTTGTTTTAGAAAAAGTTTGCAACCAATTATGCTACTTCGGTTGGTACTCGTGTAGGCCCAAAACGTGTTATATCTGAGATTACGGGTTGGTTGCAGCAAATGTTGTTCCTAGTAAAAATGTATTATGAAGAGAGATTTCTCACACCACACTCAGTCGTGATGGTCTTGTTGATATACGCAGGACGTTGTCCAGTTTGGGCCTCTTGCTAAAACTATGGGTTCAATGATGCTGGCGAATCCTGGAATTCTTCCTCAAATAATTAAACAGGTGGATCCACCAAGCCTCTGCTCTTCCTCTCCCCTGTTCTTCTGCTATGTGTTGCCCAAGGAAGCAAGTAACTATGAAAGTCCGCGTGGATTACAGATTGTGACTTAAATGATTGAAACGTGTACAGGTTGGACTCGTACCATTGATCGACTGGCTCGTCCACTTCATTGGTCTCGGCTCTTTCACATTCCTTTCATCGGTGGCTGCCCCTGCTTTACAGTAAGTAAATTAAACTGTCCTAAGTTTCTCTGTTCGATAATCAGATGATATGTAGGTTTGCAACCATTATCAGTCATACTTGTTCTGATTAATATTCCATGTGCTCTGTGTGAAGATCCTGGGTGAATGGCCTCGACAGTAGAGAGCAGTTCATATGGAGACGACGCTTTGAAGCATGGAGATTTGGAGCAGGTCTAGATTACTTGAATTAAAACCTTTGTCTGGCTTCAAGGTTTCAAGCTGCACTCACTTAACAATAGCTTGTATGTAAAATGATATTAGCTGTACAATACAGAGAGCGACAATTACTGGGAGGAGAAATGTTCCAGTCTGTACAACTTTGTAACAAATGTCTTATAAATGGTTAGGTTTGCAGTATTTCACTTATCAACTTGTCCAGCAAATCCGAGATAATGACACTTTTGAATAATGCAACATCGTCCTTCAACTAAATCAAGAAGCATGAGGTGTTTTTTGGACTGGGATAGCGTTGTTTTCCTTTGCAGAAATGTAATTTTTATTTATCTCTGCCAGTAACTACTCTGTATTCCAAATTGAGTAAAACAAACCGTTTAGAATACTCCATATGAAAATTTTTTAAAATTTGTGTTTGTTCATATTGTTTGAACTAATCCGTAAGTTGTTGTGGCAAAAGTACTAGAAATATAATGGCTCAAAATAATTCTCCACAGTTAAATTACGTCTTACTCATACATAGGACCCGAGAGCTTATGCTACTATCACAACGATCTTCTGATCAGGAATTCTAAGAGGCAACACAAATATCTTAGAAAGAAAACAAGGGATATCATATTAAATATCGTATGGGAATTCATGCAATACGTGTGTAGCAAAAAGTTATTCCTGCTTACACCATATTTAACAAGTTATAAAGCCAGGATTGTATCACTTGAAATCTCAACATGAACCTTAACCGAACACATGAAATGCACTTGTGATAGGATCTCTTCGTCATCACATGTTCATTTGAAGTTCATGAAATGTCTGATATTGCAATTTGTAGAAGGTTTCATTGATGAACAAAAAAAGATCACATAAATAAGAAAATAATAATTAACTACATTAAATTTCGCATAACATTTAACAGGGGCGGTGGCGCAGTTGGTTAGCGCGTCGGTCTCATAGTCACGAGTAATCCGGAGGTCGAGAGTTCGAACCTCTCTCGCCCCACGTTTTGTTTTGCTTCGTTGCACCAACAGACAACTATTACATTTTCATTGTATAAAGAGCGAAGACTCTGAAAGTCCTATTTACAATTCACTATTTGCAATTAATTGTATGTACCTTCCTTCACTTATAATATTCACAGATTTGTAAACAGTGCAGTGCCGGCACAAAGTCGTCACGCAATGCAGTCTACATTGATCTGACAGATTCTATACACGGCTCTCTGCACATTTGATCACATGTGCCGATATTTATTCAAGACTCTTTCCCGACAATATGATGATTAAGCGGTATTTTGCTTCGTTGCACCAACAGACAACTATTACATTTTCATTGTATAAAGAGCGAAGACTCTGAAAGTCCTATTTACAATTCACTATTTGCAATTAATTGTATGTACCTTCCTTCACTTATAATATTCACAGATTTGTAAACAGTGCAGTGCCGGCACAAAGTCGTCACGCAATGCAGTCTACATTGATCTGACAGATTCTATACACGGCTCTCTGCACATTTGATCACATGTGCCGATATTTATTCAAGACTCTTTCCCGACAATATGATGATTAAGCGGTATTCGGGCGAGCTGAATTCATGAAGGTTATAAATAGAACCCTCCAGTGATTTGTTTGTAAGGAGATAGTCAGAATGGGCGAATGAGTGAGTAGCTTTTAATTCATGTTCATCTCATGGATCATATTCATGTTTCTTTAAACATCAAGTCACAGTTGCCGACTTACAACAACCCCTACTGTGACCTTCAAGACTGTCAAGGGAATACGATCAATCTCACAATCTCCTTGTTCAACAATCCCTTCGGATCGAATGTCCCTTCGGGGATAAAATTGGAACGATACAGAGAAGATTAGCATGGCCCCTGCGCAAGGATGACACGCACAAATAGAGTAATGGTCCATTGTTCAACCGTAAGGGCTGAAACCATCAAGATAAAGGGCAAAAGACCAATCAATCTCACAATCTCCTTGTTCAACAGTGAGGGCTGAAACCATCAAGATAAAGGGCAAAAGACCGTTGCATATGAATGGCAGAACAATACAGAGTTAAACCTCACAATAGTGAAATACATTGGTTCTATAGTTTTATGTCATTATTGGGAGGTGTCACTCACACAAGGTTGGATAATATTTAGTGTATCATGTGGAGACATTCTTATTGTATGTTTAGCGGACTCACTAAATATTTAGCGGATTATTCGGCGGTTCAAATTTGAACTTACATCAACAATGATCAATGAGATTATAGTTATCTGATATTTATGATGAGAAGATTTCCAATACATAAGATTTCATACTTGCCTATATATCAGCAATTTCTACTATATAAGATTTTTGAAATTTCTGCACTCTACTGTATATAGAAAATTTTTACTACTCAAAGAATTACATGGCTCAATCCAGAAGGAATTTTTCTTGTTTGAGAAATATTAGGAACCAATTCTGCTTGGTAAATTTTGCAAAATTCTCTAGATTACAATGGTAGTTATAATCAACATGAATATCAATTGTCAAAATTGAATTTTTCCATTTTTCGCTTGACTTAGAAATTTGAGCTGGTTGAAGAGTCCAAGATTCTAGTCAAAATTGAATTTTTCAATTTGTCCCTTATATAACTCGGAATATCTCAATGCTAAGTGTTTGGATCACACTGAGCACTAACGCCACCCTGGAACAACCTTTGTACAAATGATATGCAAAATAATATCAATTTCGGTAAGATATGTTTCATCGCGAAATTCAGAGCACACTTCCTTAACTTATGCTCCGAGCATAAAATCAGAACATCCACGTATTTTTGATACCTGTCTTGTTAGATATATATTTGACGTATGTGTAAGGAAAAGTAGCAGATGATAACAAGAGCAGTTAACATTTAATGCATTCAATCTTCTCATAATATAGTTACAATCATGATTCAACCTCACTGGAAGCATAGAAAAAAAAATAGAATTCTAAATCCGGAAGTTCTGAACGGATACTTTCGATAATTATAATAGTCATTAAAGCTCCACCATGTTACTATTAAATCTTCTCATGTCACTATTTCCAATAGTGACGTACGGTTCTTATTGAACAGATTTATACATTAGAAACTAATGGTTCCACACTTTCATGTCACTAATGGGAGTATGTCACTGTAATAACCCACCAAAGGCTAAAACTGCAGTATGGTGGTAAAAAGATCGAACCCACAGGGACAGAGGCAACACACAGAGTAAAAAATGTCACGTTTAACAGACTTTTGTAGAGTTTGAATTCTCAGGCGACTGTCACTCCCAGAAATACTGCAGTGCTCGACTCGGAGGAGGATGCTCGACTTGGAGGATGCTCGGAGGATGCACAGTACAGCGTAGTCACTCAACACACACACACACACACACCTGAAACTGGCAAAAGCACAACTCGGAGGTCGGTCAGGACCTCCGCTTCGGATTTCAGGGGGAAAGTGTCTCAAAAGTTCACTCAGAGGTTCTGCAGGTAGTGACTCCCACTCCGGCTTTTACTGCCCTTCCGCCAGGAACTAGCGTAGGGAACCCGGACTGGACTTCCCACTTCGGAACGAAGCCCCTTCATACGCCGTGGACGTCACCCTCGACTCACACCAAACGCAGGGGGTACAGGCCCGACTGAAAACTTAACTGAGACACAATCCAGTAACACACACACACAACCTGAATTGCAAACCAAGGCTTACACGAAGTAATAAAACTTCACTTTGGCATTCAGGGGAAACTTCCCGTAGGAGTACAATCAGGATATGTCACTCGAAGGAGTAAGGGGGAACTGTTCAAGTCTCTAACTCGCAACCGGCTCTGAGCATCAGAAATCACCCGCAGGTGCAGATCCGCACTACTCAAGTCTCTAACCGGGTACTAGCTCTGAACATTCAGCCGAAGGCCTTCAACTACAACATACGGTAACTTCGCTATGCTGCAGCTTCTCTACGTGGTGCCAGGACCAAAATGCACAAACACGCCAAGAAAGTGAGTTCCTGATCTGCACTTCCGAAACTGGAAGAGTCCCAAGGCAAAACGCCTTGATCTACTTTATACCCTCAAAGGTCCTAACTAACACTACGCTATCCTATCTACTACTTGCAACACCTGCACGAAACCAAACTACGCTACTGCACTCTGCAGATCCGGTGTTGCGCCTCCTGCGCGCCGGACTGCCTCGCTCTCTATCTCTACCTTGCCAATCTTCCGACTGGCTGCGCAACCCCAGACGCCGGAGGGCTGCAGTCACTTCCAACTCCAAGTGCGCCATAGTGTCGCGCGCATCCGACAAGAAGGATTCTAATTTCCTTGCTACTCGCCGCCGACTCCGACTGTCACCCTCCGTCAATGCCGCCGCCCGAAGCTCAAACTCCCTGAGTGTGATCTTCTCTTGAGCTGCCACCTCCCAATGGGCGTATCCTTTTAGACAGTGAGTCACCCGCGTCGCCAACTCTCCTTGCGCCCGGCAGCTGCCTTCCACCTCTGCTAGCTGCATTTCCGCATCTGCGCGCTGCGCCCTCAAATCCGCGCACTCGGATTGCAAGTTGCGCAACAACTCCTCATCCTCCTTGCGTGTACTTTGACTTTCTTCTAAGGCGCGCTTCTGGCGCGCAAGCTCTTCTGCTAAGATGCGGTTTTGTCTCCGCTCTTCCTGCAATTCCGACTCGATCTTTGCCCGCATTAGCTCGGCATCCGCCTGGTTTTTCGTCGCCGCATCCTCCCTCTGCTGTTGCAAGGTTTGGTATAGCTTCTGCGTGACCGCCAGGTGCTGTCGGAGGGTAGCGTTCCTATCCTGCAATGTTTGGCACCTAGAGGCCCAAGTGGCCACCTTGCTCCTCGTCCTGCGCTTGACAGTCTCCACGTAAAACTGCGGTTTTCCGGTACCCGAGTACTTGGATGTCTTGCGATCCAGATATCGCAGGAGTGGAACTATCTGCTCGCACAACACCCCTGTTGGCGTTTTCTGCACAGAGTCCGCTTCCTGCTCTTCCGAGCTCGTCTCATCCTCCGTTTCGAGCATTTCAGTCGCCACCGAATCCCTTGGCGACTCCCTGGAACTGTGACGCGCAGCAGCTTCCGCCGCGACTGCCGCTCCACTACCTGCTAAAATATCCAAGGCAGTGGGGGATCCCACTGCTTGAGCCCCTGTTCTGGCTCGATCTTCGGTTTCCGAAGGGGTCGACGCCGCAGTGACTTTTGTCACCTTTGCACCGCCCGCTTCTGCTGCCTGCCCTTTCGGCGCAATCTGCGCGGAAGGTGTCTTCGCTGGAGGTGCGTCCGCC